GGGGAAAGAATGGATCCCAAGTGCTTCTGCCTGTCAGAGGGGCTGGTGCACACTTCCGGTGATGTCAAGTTATGCTAATGAGCTCCTGCAGCTCTTTTTCTACGAAATGACCCCGGACACCTTCATTTTCTCCTTGCAACCAATCCCCCCGCAGGCCAAAGCAGCCCCTTCCCCACCCTGTGGGTGCTTCCCCCCTCTCTCTGCGCCGTGAGCAATGATCATAGAGCAGGCTGGCCTTTGCCAGGTTTGGGGTTTCAGAGTATTTATAACCTTGGTGGTTGCTTGGCAATGGCTCCGCTCACGTTGAGCTTCACGTGGGTAGCAGATGCTTTGTGGAAAGCCTGACGGCATCCATGGCGGCGGAGGGAGGAAGTGGCTAACCTCGCAGGCTCTGCTGAACAGGCAGACTTCTGAGCACAGCAGGGAAAGGCCCTTTCCAGGCCAGTCTTTGAGAGCTGTAACCGTCCCTCTTCAGATCTTGGGCATGAGCACCAAGCCTCATCTGCCACCTCCTCTCCACTGCCGAGCGCTCTTCCAGCCCACAGGGTGTAGCAGTCAGAGTGTTGGACTTGGACTTGGGAGACCCTGGTTCAAATCCCCACTGAACCTCAGTGCTGACTAGATGGCCTTGGGAAAGTACCTCTCTCTCTCTCATCCTAACCTACCTCACAGGGTTGTTGTGAAGATACAGTGGAGGTAGCGAGAACAATGTTGTAAGCCACTTTGGTTCCCATTGGGAAGAAAAGCAGGGCATCCATTTCTATACAGATAACATCTAAATAATTACTGCATGGCTGGCTCTTTATCCATGGAGCTTCCTCCCTGCTGGGTGTGCCAAGCATGTTGCTCCCCCTCCACGTTGCACCAGCAGGCTCCTGGGGCTTCTTTGCACCCTGCTCAGCCTGCTGGCTCACTTGGACCGGCACTGCCACACCCCTACCTGGACCTTTCTCTCTCCACCCTGAGGCCATGGACACAACTCCCAGGTGGGGCCCATAGATGTCATGGAATTATAACTGATCTCCAGAATACAGAGATCAGGTCCTCTGGAGAAAATGCCAGTTTGGGAGGGTGGACTCGATGGCATCACATCCCTGTTGGCAGTCCAGTGTCCATCCCATTCAAAGCACAGACCGCCTCACTTCCTTTTGGCACACAGCCCTGAATTCAAGTCTAAGCACTATCTAAACAAATGTTCCCTCCGAACGGTGTAGTCTTGCGAGCAAAAGTTCCACTTTGTGAGCTACTGGCATTAAAGTTGTGAGTGAACAATTTGGGTACTGCATAAATTAGTTTGCTCTGGAGCCATCCTTCCTGAGCTAAGACAGAAATGTGTGAGCCAGAGGCTAAAAAACCATGAGCTAGCTCACACGAACTCAGCTTAGAGGGGACACTGACTAAACTGAGCATTTTATTTAGCAGGATGCAAAGAATTTGGGCGTATCGAAGAGCGGCCCTAGGGCCAGTGGATTCTTTAGAGACCTTGGATTCTTTTTCACAGCCCATCTCAAACTGCTTTTCAAATTCCCCTTTCAGAAGAAACCTCCCATGTGGCAAACTGTCCCTCCCTCTCATATCCAAAGCATTTTGTTAGAACGAAATAAATCTTAAGAGATCTTTGTATCTGTGACTGCTTGTTGTCCTTAAATGCAAAAACTGGACCCCTGGTAACGGAAAGGAGAAGTCTGCTTCTGGTTTATGCACCAAGTGGCTGTTTGGAAGGGTGCCATTCAGTTCTGGGCACTACCAGCTGAAGAACCAGGGTCACATGATCAGTTTGGGACATGGGGGAGAAGGGACAATATGTCAGCACTGGCTGCAGGATTCATTGGAGACACAACCCGAGTGGAGACTCTCCCTCTTCCCTTCAGCCCTTCTGCACTAGGTTCCTTCTTGGCCTGAAATTAAAGCCAAGGAAGGGAGGGGGTGGGTGGAGCCCCCGCTTTGAAACTGGCCTTCCAGGAAGCCTCTTTGGCAGCATTTAAGCTAGTTTATTTATTTGTAAGTAAAGGCCTTCCCTGTGCCCTCTCCATTCTTTGTTTTTCGTCAGGTCTATTTTTATGGATGCTCTTCATTTGCTATTTAACCCTATGCCATTGTGAACTTTTGCGGCAAAGCGGAGAGCATGCTTTATAAACAAAATAATCTAGCTTCTTAACTTAAAAGCTGTTTCTGCTAGTCCGTCACAGAAGGCTGTAAAGTGCTCTGATGCAATCACTGGCTGCAGGCGGGGCTGGGAGAGAGCCTCAGCACTCCCCACAGAGCAGAGAAGGACACCCATGGAAAAGTCTTTGTGGCCTATCTGTGATCACCAGGGTGATGCAGCTTCTACCTGGCTGTGCAGGTTCCCCATGGCAACTCATTGCAAAGTGTTGCAGAGGCCCAATTTGGTTCTGACACATGGTGGGGGAAGGAAGGAATCCAGAGCCTCCATCCATCCCATCCATGCCTGTGCAGGTTCCCCATGGCAACTCATTGCGAAGTGCTGCAGAGGCCCAATTTGGATTTGACACATGGTGCAGGGAAGGAAGGAATCCAGAGCCTCCAGCCATTCCATTCATGTCGTTTTCCCAACACAAAATGGCCCTGCACACCAGTAAGAGCCCCCGGAGCCAGGAATATGGCCCAGGGTAGAAGGCAGGAGCCTCTTTTCTCCTCACAGTGCAGTACTGACTCAAATCATGCTGCTGTGGTGCTTCTAAATTGAGTTGCCACAGAGGATGCCCAGCTGGCCTCCTGCTGCAAATCCATGATGGGACCAGACGCTAAACATAAAGTGCAGTTTGACCCACTCTCAAAAGCCAAAGTTTGGCCCTAAGCAGCCTTCCTGGTAGAAGCCAGGCACTAGTCTGCAAAAGCTCCATTTATTTAAATAACTTCAGATGCAAATGTAAGACTGGAGAGAAATAATGTTGCTAATTTACAATATTTACAGTAGAACACAGCTACAGAGAAAAAAGCCTCTGACCCCACCCAGCAATAAACAAACATGGGAGCATCAAGAGGTGGATGCTGCTTCTGTCATCTTTCTCCACTCTTTTCAACAGAGGGACCCAATACATACATGCATGATTCCTCCAGGTGCACAAAACCTGCACCCTCTGTTGAGAAGAATGAAGAAGCCCCCGCAGAGAAGAGCTTCGTGTGTGCTTTGGAACCCACCCGACTTTAATTGGTTTTGGAAGCAACTCCTAGGGGTTGAGTTGGGGTGGAGGTTTGAGCATATGAACTTGAGGAACAACAGGGCTACCAATTTCCATGCTTGGTGAGACAATTTAAGAACAGTCTGGTTTCAGGGTGCCACGGAGCCCCTTTCTGAAGAAAGCTGGCACTTGTGTCTTTCCCTTCCCGCCTTCTTGGGCTTCACAACCCCTCCCCCAAGTACCCTGGAAAAGGACGGCTGTTCATTGTCATGTGCCAGTTCATGTTTTAAAATTATGCACACTTAAAAATAGCAACAACAACAAAAAAAGAAACGCTGATCGAGTGGTAAGAGTTCCTTCGTCTTCCTGCTTTGTCTGCTGGGTTTGAAGACTGGGGTTTTTGCTTATGATCAAGCAGTCAAAACGCCACGCCAGCCTGGTCACAAAATTGACTTCCAGTTCCTTTTCTGTAGAAGAGAAGTTGCAGATAGCGCTGGTTGTGGGAAGAGCCACCAAAAGCCTGACAAGGGGAACTTCAGTGGTTCCTCAGGGCTGGAAGTTTGGTACCGGAAGAGTTCCCTTTGTTCTGCCCACACTGGATAAAGGTGCAACAGGTAAATACATCAGCCAGGAAGAGGGGACATGGCCATTCACATCTCTGCAGAACAACAACAACAAAGTTATATACACACGACAGAACAAGTGTGACACCTCTATCTCCTTTAATTGACATGCCTGCCTTGCGGGACTTTGGTGCCTACAGCAGCCTTCTGAGTCATAGCAAACTTCTAGTCTTTATCTCATGGGGAAAGCTTGCATATTATGGCATCTCTGTGCCTTGCAGCAGGTTCGTGAGATGCCAGGATTCATAGTTGCCCACTCATGTGCCAGAATTCACAGCAGAAGGCAAAAGCAGGGCAAACAGTAGACCATGAGGGACAAGAGAGTTCCTTTCAGTGCAGATGGTGTTTCATTACTGAAATGCAAAGTTTGACACAATCAAACCAGGCTCACCAGGTTTTATGCAAAGCACCTCAAAATCTGCCAGATGATTTTTTAAAAAGCATTCTTTCAAGACAGCATTAAACTGATAAAATAGCCCTGCAGTCACAATAATTCTGCACCACTCGGTTCTGCGCCGAGTAACTCTGAACAAACAACAACAAGCAGGAGCAAGCCCAGCTCAATAAGATGGGGGATTTTCGGCACAGCAGAGTGGCAGGACTTGCTATGGTAACTTCTTCGTATGTACCTTCCAGTGCTCTGTCTAGGTCGGCGATGAAGTCTTCCAGCTCTCGGGTGTCTCCGAGTTTGGCTAGGACACAAAGGAAGACAGAGTGGTCAGCTTTTCACATTCCCTCCCCTCTACCAATCTGAAATGAAGACAATGAGCTTGCAAAATTTCAAATCTGAAATGGAATGTTTAGGATGGATGGGGGGAAATCCCTCTGCATACTTAATCTTAGCAATACTTCATGTTTGAAGCAAAAAAGGGATTTTAAAAAACCCTTGTTTGTCTTTGGTCTGACTAATTTGGCCATCATGAAAGCCCTGTCGTAACTGAGGATTGCCCAAGGCGCAGAAATATAGCCCGACCAACCAAAAGACAGGCCAGGATTCCCCCCTTCCCAAACTCTGGTACAGAGCCGCTCCAGAAACCTTTTTGAAAACTGCACTCTTAAATCTGGCTTTTAGCCCTGCCCTTCTCAGCACAACCTGGCCCCCCTTGGCCTTACCAGTGGAACAGGACGTGGCAGTGTGAGTGTTGAGATCTTCCTCACTGGTGTTCAAACTGCTACCAGGAGATGTGCTGTTGCCTGTAGGAAGAGAATGACGGATGAAGTTTCAAGAGCACCTGGTTTTCGTGCTGTGTGTGGGCTGTCAACCCTAAAGGGCAGTTGGTGAACTGTGGTCCCCTCACCCGCCTGCTGCCACCATGCAGGCAAATGCAACCACTATGGCTTGTGGTTACCATAAATGAACACCAACAACACACAAGGAACTGTACCCAAACCAGGAATTATACCCTGTCTGCTCACCAAGCTTGCCGTTGGGGTTAGGCAGAAGGCAGAGAAGAAGCTGATAGAGGGAAGGGGTGAGGTGGGGAGGAAGAGCCCAGTTAGGAAGGGGCAGAAGTTCCCAGCAGATAACAAGGTGGCAGCAACTGAATTGATACCAGCAGTGACACGCCTTCGGCAGTCTCTGCTCTTCAGCCTCAGCGATATCAAGGATTGGCGCAAGCCAGTGGAAACAGCCCTGACCATAATTGCAGATTTGTTTAGAGACCTTCAAGCTATCCAAGGACACCCCCACAAAGCCAGAGGGTGGGGAGCAGAAGGAAAGAAACAGCCCGCCTTGTCCCAGCCGCCCACCCACTGAACTGGCTCTGGTCACACTCACTCTCTGAGTCATCGATGCCGCTGTCGTACAGGCTGGGCAGGGTTCTCCTCTTCAGCTCCTCCAGATGCTGCTCATACTGAGACGCCTCCCCCTTGTCAAAGTCCTGAAGCACCTGGTCAAACTCCAGCAGGAAGTCGTCCAGGTAGCTGGTGGGCAGCACTGCAGATGGGCAAACAGACGGGCTGAACACAGGGGCACTGCTCAGCAGGGCTTTTAATGCTGTTGTCTGAGGTGGGAGTTATTTCAGGTTTTATTGTATTCTGCAAGTTTTTTGTTTGTTTGTGACTTGTAAGCCACCTTGTACCAAGAGCAAAGGTAGGCTATAAATATTGTAATAAATTAAAAAATGGACAGAGCATGCCAGCATAACTGGGCAACAAGCCTCAACTCCACCCACCTTTGTAACAATGACATGAAATCTTATAGAGCAGGGGCACTGTGGGAGGGTCCTCTTCCTGACACTGGGGCTGCAAATGCTCCAGAAGCGAGTGACCCATGGCAGCAACTGAGTGCATGTTTCCAACATAAAATGGAGTCCTGTGGTGCTCAGCTTTGGGTGTGATCACCCGAGCAGTTTGGCCCGACATAGCCACCCCTTCCCTCTGGATCAAATGGGCACAATCAAATGCACACATCTGGCTCCCATGCCCCACTCGCCCCTACCTCTAAAACGACTCCCAGGTGGATTAAGTAGCCACTGGCAAATTCCAGTGGCTACCTTGGTAAGGTGCTTCCATGGTGGGTTTCTGGGTTTTTGATCGCCCAGGTGAGCCATGGAAACGCATGAGCGGTGTGATCGTTCCACTCCATTTATGGCACATCCTTTCCCCCCTCAACCCCACTCTGACGTGCACTTCAGCGCCCTCATAGAATGTGGACAGGAGATTGGATTTATAGCCTGCCCTTCACTACCTGAAGGAATCTCAGAGCAGTTTACAATCCCTTTCCCTTCCCCTTCCCTCCCCACAACAGACACCCTGAGGTAAATGGGGCTGAGAGAGCTCTCTCAAGAACTGCCTTTGAGAGAACAGCTCTGAAAGAAAATATGACTGACCCAAGGTCACACCAGCAGCTGCATGTGGAGGAGTAGGGAATCAAACCCAGTTCTCCCAGATTAGAGTGCATGCTCTTAACCACTACACCAAACCAACCCAGCTGAAGGTCCATGGTTGCAGTGTGTTAGCAACCACAGGCCCATGGCACTATGAGGCTGGCTTAGGGGGCACTGTGTGATCAATGCAAAGTCCCAAACTCAAGCGGCTTATTTAGAGCTGAAAGACTGCTGTGGCAAACTGCTCATGTGACCACAGCTATAGTCTTCTAAGCATGATGCGCGCTTGATGCACCCCAAGAATGCAGGATACAAAGTGGGCTCCAACCTACTTCTGTCCCTTGTGTTAGTTTCTAGGAGGAGTCACAAAACTCCTTTGGGGGTTTCTTTTACTGTAACACATTCCCAGGTCCACCTCACTGGAATCTCCTGCCCCGCTCGTATGCTTTCCCAAGAGTTGGCCACTCCTGAAAACATAACCCTGAGCGAAGCTGTCCATTGGCCCCATGAGTTCTGTTTGGAGTTCCCATGCTGTGCAGTGACTTCTAAGCAAAGTCAAGGCAAGACTGACTTCCTCTGTGTAAGAATATTCAGCACACATACATTATACCACAGTCTCCTCTAAATGTGCCAGGTCAACTGAGAGCAAAATCCAGGGGAAATGAAGTGTCTTCTGAAGGGTATCTGCTCTAGGGATCTGTACAATACAGAGTCAGGTTCAAAGTTTTGGTATTGACCTATAAGGCCTTGAGCGGTCAGGGACCGTTGTACCTATGGGACTGTCTCCTCCATTATGTCCCCAGGAGAATGTTGCACTCTTCACATAGCAAACTGCTGGTGGTCCCCAGCCCCAAAGATGTCCAGCCGTCCTCAACCAGAACCAGGGCCTTTTTGGTCCTGGCCCCAACCCAGTAGAACTCTCTGCGAAACACCATCTGATGCAGTTCTGCAGGCCCTGCAGGGCGGAGAGGTTCTGCCAGGCTTTTGGTTGAGGACAGCGACGGTTCCATCTTGGCTGGCACCCTCCTCCGGTATTTACAACTACCTTGCCCTCTTCCCCCCTGCCCGTGAAGTAGCCAGCAGTTGGAATTAGAACTATTTATTCACCATCTGATTGTGGGAATGTTTTATTAATGTTTTAATTAGTTTTATCTTGTTTCTGTTTTATGAATACCATACATTACCCAGAGCCCTGCCGTGGCAGGGATCGGGCGATTCAGAAATACAGTAAATAACAACAATAACAACAACTCTAAGAATGCTGTCCCACTGCAATGCAAGCCAGGTGACCAGCTCATGTTAGATGCCAGAAGCCAGTAAAGCCTGACCCAGGACAAGCCAGTTGCCTGACCAAGCCCCTAGAACAGGATGCCCCAACCTGGCTGAACCTGCGACCACCTTGGAATACTGCAGAGTGGCAGAGGCCGCCACAACAAAATGGCTGCTATGAGGGCTGGGCCCCAGCACAAAGCGTGCTAGGTCTCGAGCCAAGCTCCTGCACCAAAGGGGTGCTCCCTGCAGACCTCCCTCCTGCAGACCTCCCACACTGGTGGTGCTTCTGGAAAGTCACAAGTAGACACCAGAGAGTAGCCACAGGAACCACGTTGTCTTGGGGGCCACTGTCAGTGCAAGTCAGTGGCAAGACAGGGGAAGAGGCTCCCGCCTCCTAAAGTTGATGGAGATCCACTACAAAGCCCACTTTCCCGGTCCTCTAGTCGAACCAGCCACAGACCACAGGCCAGACGGGCAGGGGCTCTTTCTGCAAGTCCAGCAGAACGCCCAGGACGCGCCCGCCACTCCCTCCTCTCCTCGGCAGGATCCAAGCTCTCGCTTTGGCCGCCCTAAGGCGCTCCCACACCGGGAGGGCCGGCAGGCCGTGGACCCCTGGCCCCAACTGCCAGGTAGAGGAAGGGGCTCCTTGCGGTCGGACGGAGCCCCGCATCGAGGGAGCCCCCCCCTCCACTGCTTTCGCTTCCCTCCTCTGGCTTTGTCGTCTGCGCCGCGCGGAGAGGAGGCGCCGCCGCCCGCCGGACGAGAGGGGCTTTCCGTGCTCACTTCCCGGATTGGGGGGGGGGGCGTTACACGTGTGTGTTCGTGCGCGTCTGGACGCCGGCACCGCACGCAGGCCTTCGGGACGCAGCCTGGCCCTCCCGGATCCCCCTGAACAGCTGGGACAGATTCGGCCGGGTCCTTCCCAAAGGCAGAATGAAGGCTGCTGCCTCTCGCCCTCCGTCGGCACACAGCCACGCGGGCACAGCAGGAGACCTGCCGGTCAAGCACACCGTCCCCACAAGCCTGGAAGCCAGAGGGATTCTCGCCTGTTCGCCCGCGATGGTACAGGGAGCCCCGTCGGAAGTAGTCAACCTCGCTCCTCTCGCCCCCAGAGGGAGCCTGCAGAGCCAGGGCCAGGCAGGCGCGCCCAAGTGTTCGTTCACGGTCTCTTTCGAGGGGTGGGCGCGGGAGGGAATGATGCTTCCCCCCCACACACACACACTGAACGTTAGGGGGCTGGGTGGAGGGTGGGTGGTCACTCGGAGGCGCTGCTTCTGTGGCCAGGGAGCTGCTCTTCCCTTCCGTGGGGCCGATTTCCCAGCGTGATGGGCCGCAGGCGAGCCGGCAGCGCTCCGGAGCCATTCCCGGGCGCCAGAAATAGAAGGCGGAGGCGCGGGATGACCAGTGGGGATTGGAAAGGGGCTACCTGCAGCCGCCTGGGGGACTGTGGCGTCCAGCGCCCGGCGCCCCCCCCTTCCCCTTGTGACACTGGTTTACCTACAGTCCAAGTCCTGTCCCTCGCCCGCCCCCACCTCCCACGAACCAAGCGTCTAGATCATGGCCCCCGAGGAGCAGCCCCCGGCCATAGCCAGTTGCGACAAAACCAGACCGGAATGTTGTGGCTTCTGAGTCTCCCGGGTTTATGCCAGGAATGGATAAAGGCTTGTGGGCCCTTTCAGGTGGCCGCACGGGTCCTGGCCTCTAGGGAAGAGCTAGGCAAGACCCACCCAGCAGGTTTTCACTGCACCTGACACGCACAGCCCCGGGTCTCAGCGCATGGCCGCGCATCACCACTTATGCTTACCCACCCAGCGGAGATGATCAGCATTCCCGCCAAAAGACACATCCCGCAACCGATGCTCCCTCTAAGCCGTGGAGTCTTGTGAGCAAAAATTCTACTTTGTGAGCGCCTGGCATTAAAGTTGTGAGCGAACGATTTGGCTGCCGCATAAACTAGTTTGCTCTGGAGCCCTCCTTCCTGAGCGAAGACAAAAAGGTGTGAGCTGGAGGCTAAAAAAACTGTGAGCTAGCTCACACTAACTCAGCTTAGAGGGAACACTGCGCAACCCGAACCGGTGACTGGCTGTGCGCGGGAGGTGCCACTGACCTGCGCTGCTGGCTGCTTCTCCGTCCATCCTGCCGGGCGAGGGGTCAAACAGACAAGCCGCGCGGGACCTCAGAAGCCAGCGAGGGCTCTTCTGGAGCAGCGGCCCGCGCGGCAAGTTTTGTGCTTGAGGCCGCGCCCCTTTCTGCAGCCGGCTCCGCCAATCGCCGGTCGCGGTGGGTGGGGCTTGTCTGGGAACTGTCACAGCACCGCGCCGGGACAGAATTTGCGCTCCGAGGAAGGAAGAGAGGAAAGGACCGAAGCCCCGGGAGGGCTGCTTCGCGGCAGGGGGTGGGGGCATCTGTGGCATTATTTGGGCCTATGCATTAATTTGCCGGATAAAGACGCATTTCATGACAGATCCATATCTCCGCAAGCGGATGCGTGATTGCCAGGGCCAGTGCTTAACCCGGCACCTTAACAGCCAAGAGAAAGGGTTCCTGAGCACGCGCAGAGGGCACTTCTTTCCCAAACCTCCGGGTGAGCAGCAGGGAGGCGCTGGAGGGAAGAACATTTTCAGCCTTCTCACCGGAAATCAAGCACCTCTGGGTGATGAAATGCATATCTGTATCTGGCTTTGGCAAATGGATATGATTAAAAAGGGGAATTCGCTGCCAGAGGATGTAGTGATGGCCACAACAGACGCCTTTAAAAGGCGGGTTAGACAGATTCGTAGAGGAGCGGCTACTAGCCATGGCGGCTGAGGGAACCTCCACATTCAGAGGCAGTATGCCTCTCACTGCCAGCGGCTGGAGGAAACATCAAGGGAAGGCTCTATGCCCAGTTGTTGGCCCTCCAGACTAACCGCTTGGGCGCTGCGCCAGAGGACGTTGGACTAGACTAGATGGACTACTGGTCTGATCCGGCAGGGCTCCTTTTACATTCTTAGTGTGTGTGTGTATAGACTATAAACACCCCAGTTCGGCTGAGCTAGGTTCTCCGCTGGGACCAAACCCAACCCGCAACGGCTCAAAGAGCCAGCAACAACTCCTGCTGCTACTCATGAACAAAAACTGGATCTTTTCTAATTCGCACGTACCATTTCAAGTGCTTTTCTGCCGTGCCCCTATTGACAGTGTGAATTTTGCACTGATTTTCTGAGTCCGTTCATTGCCACGTCGACGGCTGCAATCCCACGTGCACTGAAAACACACAGGAATGTTGGAATGGGGTTTTCTGCTTTCCCATCAATTCAAAAACCAGACGGTACAAGTGCATTTAAAAAAGGAATCCTAAACAGAATCCTACTCAGATGTATTCAGTGGGGCCTACTCCCAAGAAAGTGATGTTAAGGATTGCACTTTCTCTTTTTCAGACACCAACGGAGGGAGATGGGCTTTAAAAATGCTTTGAGTGACACAGGTGAATATAGAGACATGCATCTCAATTTATATAAGGCGCATGTTTTTCCCCCCAAAGTACGGTGTAAGAAAGATGTCTCTCTCACAAACAGAACAAAGTTTGAGTCCAGAGGCACCTTTAAGACCAACAAAGTTTTATTCAAGATATAAGCTTTCGTGCCCACACGCACGTCTTCAGGTACAGTGAAACAGAATTTCCTCAACCATTACATATAGGAAAGTGGGGTGGGTGATTATCACATCTTGTATTTGTATGCTAATTTACTGCCATTCACAGATTTTACCAATCGTCTTAATCCAATTTCAGCTATACTCGCCCAGTTACTTATGCATCTTGACTCTAATTGGCCCTTCCTGGCAACTATATGTAATGGTTGAGGAAATTCTGTTTCACTGTATCTGAAGAAGTGTGCTTGCACACGAAAGCTTATACCTTAAATAAAACTTTGTCGGTTTTAAAGGTGCCACTGGTCTCAGTGTAGAAGCTTCAGATCAACACCCCTACCCACATGAACCTCTCGCAAACAGTGCAACAGCACCTCCTGGTGCTGAAGCTGTTGCTTTGATCTGTTTTGGGAAGCATATGCGTATTTTTTAAGTATTTAAAATGTTGCCGTTCCCTTTTTTAAAAAAAGATTGGTAATCGATTAGATTGTATGTAGGTTAAATTTAGATTTGTTGGAGTTCAGCAAAACAAAATAAAATGTGTTAAAGAAATTTCTGTGGAAAAAAAAAATCTTTAACTTCCCATACCGGGAGTCGAACCCGGGCCGCCTGGGTGAAAACCAGGAATCCTAACCGCTAGACCATATGGGAGGCCATAGTAAGTCTGTCTATTTTAGAACTCTTCTCTTTCATTTCTGTTATGCATATCGTTAATTTACATCCAGAATATATGAAACAATGCATCTTTACAGAAAAGATCCTGACTGTGAACGGCATTCATACAATGAAACCAGGGGAAGCAAGCAGAAAAGCGTTCCATTATATGTGCGGAGTGAGGTATGCCTCACTTAAGGAAATTTGTCATGCATTGGATCGTCTGTTCAATGGACTGAGAGAAGAAATCAGACACAAAACAGCGCGTGGTGGCAAATGCTTGACCTGTATTACACGTATGAATGGGATATTTGCTTCCTGTGCAGACGTTGAATCGGAGCCGAGAAGCTGGCTACTTCTCGTTTCACAGGCAAACCTGAGGTAAGTAGCCGTGTTGGTCTGAAGCAATAAAACAGAGTTTGAGTCCACGGGCACCTATCTGACCTACAAAGCTTAATTTTGGGTATATGCTTTCGTACGCATGCACACGAAAGCTTATACCCAGAATTAAACTTTGTTGGTCTGAAAGGTGCCACTGAACTCAAACTTTGTTCTATTACTTCAGACGAATTACACTAGCAGTTTTTTGCTTGCTCTATATCTTCGCTTTTGCATTCAAACGTCTTAGAAAACATTCTACCTAAAGCTTTTCCTGGCATGGCGATGAAGTCTTCGGAAAAGCTTATCCTGCCTAGTTTCTGCTTATCAGGAGGGGGAAAGACAGACAGAACCATACAGAGGGAAGGAAGCACAAAATACCTCCCGCTGACTGTCTCATTCCCACTTCCCTGCTCCTAGGTAAGTCATTTGAAATAGACTCACAACAGAAATGAAATATACCCACAACAGAAATGGGACGTGCGGCTTCTCTAAGGGCGATAGTCCCAGCCGCCGCTCTAGGCGGCTCAATCTCCATGGCTGAGAAGGCGCTAGTCACTTGACAGTAGTGAAGGAAAAGCAAGGAAAGAAGAGGAGGTGGGGCTAGGTCGGAGTTTGATCACGTGATAGTCCCGAGACACTGTTGTGGGGTTGGGTTGTCCTGAGCGTCGAAGCTGGAGTGGGGGATACCTGCGCTGGGTGAGTGGATTACGCGAGGCCGGGGCCTTGAGGCCTGCCAGCGGAGGAGGGAGCGGGAATCGCCCTCCTCTCCGCGCCACCGCTCCCCAACTCTTCCGCCTGGCTGGATCAGAACAGAGGTGAGGGGGACCGGGCGGGACGACTGGGGAAGCCTGCTGGGGGCATCACTGGGGTGCCCCAAGCTCACCTACCTGCCCTCTCTGCTTTTCTGGGTTTTCCCCACAAGGAAGATGGGGGGGGGGAGAGGTTCCGGGGTTCAAGGCTACCTGAAACTGCCCCTGAAATGAAAGCCCGGCCTTGCTATGTGGGTCTCTTGGTACTGATTCTGTACCTGCTCAGAGACGGTTCTAGTACTGGAGACAGGGCTAGGATCAAAAGAGAGTCAGGATTGTGCCCACTGCCGCTCAGTGTGGGGCTCCATGCAGACATGGTGCTAAAAGTGCAATACTACACAGGGGAAGTGCGGGTGGGGGCTGAATTTCACAGGCTGGTGCTGGGGGGGCGGGGCAACAGTGGGAGGGCTTCTAGTGTCCTGGCCCCACTGCTGGACCTCCTGATGGCACCTGGTATTTTTGGCCACTGTGTGACACAGAGTGTTGGACTGGATGGGCCATTGGCCTGATCCAACATTGGCTTCTCTTATGTTCTTAGGTAGGCTGCAAGATTTAGATGAGGGTGATTTGTTTCATGCTTTAAAGAATTCTAGCACTAAAGGAACTTCTGTGTCGGAGTTAATAAGTTGATGTAGAAGGTACCTAGTGATGATTCTGCATATCGGTCAGATGCTTGTTGTTTTATATGTGTGTGGAATGCAGCGTGTATGGCAATATGTGTATACACACTGTGAACATAATTGTTTTATTATAGGATCAGACCAGTGATCCATCTAGTCCAGCATCTTGTTTCCTGCAGTGGCTAATCAGATGCCCCCACAAAGCCTGCAAGCACACTACAGAGGCCAAAGCCTTCCTCTGCACTTGCCCTAAATAAGTTGGTTCTTATTCAGTCACTGATAGACCCATTCTCTGTGAACTTGTTTAATTCCCTTAACTAAGCTAGTTCTGCCCAGTTGATCTTAGAAACTAAGCAGGGTCAGCCCTTGTCAGTACTTGAACAGGAGACTATCAAGGAATACCAGAGGTGATATGCAGAGGCAGGTAATAGCAAACCACCTCTGAAGGTCTCGTGCCTTGAAAACCCTATACGGTCACCATATGTCAGCAGTAACTTAATGGCAAAACACACACACACTCACGTCGCCATCCTGTCTAGAAGCATCTCCCATGTGTCAATAGAAGTAACCCACATGTCAGCAGTAACTTAATGGCAAAACACAGACACACGTCGCCATCCTGTCTAGAAGCATCTCGCATGTGTCAATAGAAGTAACCCTAGCTAGTGAAGGAAAAAGCTTTACTGCTAACTAGGGCATACCTTTCATAGTAAGATTTGGGTGAGAGCCCTGGTTTAGGGTACAGTGTAGAAGACCTGCCTTCCTGTGGGCCCAGGGGTGGTAGCCTTATGTCACATCTTCAGAAAGGGGTATGCTAAAGAATCCACTGTTACACTTAGGTGCTTCTTGTTGCAGAAGTTTTCTTGCTTGGGGTGATAGTGAAGGGCTTGTGTGCTTTGCATTGGAAGGTCTGAAGTAATGTGTTCCCTATTGGTAGAGGAGCTATTTCTCACTTGCTGGAATGTTGGTGGCTGGATGTAGGTTCAAAAGAGAGGGATTTGGAACAACTAGCCAACATCCTGTCCCATGTCTCTTTGTCTGTGTGTGTAGGTGTGGGATGCCGAACACAGCCATGAAGAAGAAGGTAAGAA